ATATTGTTGGGCTGCATGCACTGGCTGCCGTATCGGGACGTCGGGTAAGGCTCGGCCCGCAGTAATAACGAGATGTATCCAGATAAATAGCAATGCCCGTTCAGAGGATCCCCGTTCGTCAGGGCGTACTGGCCTGGGTTGGGCTGGGTCGGAGGCATTCGTCCTCGCTGAACCGCTGACGAGAAGAAAGAGAAGGAGAGGAAATGTACATTCCGACCAGATAAACATACGCTGGTAAAGTTTACAGAGTCCCCCTAATAATTATGTAAACAGGCTGCAGTCCCTTAATAAAAAGATAGGCCAATACGAAATTGCATGTTCTATGCGATGTAGCTTAATACGATTCGTCGTATAGCGTTTAGTTCACTCTAGTCTTGCTATGCGAATGGGACTTAAACCCTCCATTTTAAACACAAATCAAAAACAAGCTATAATGCTCGAATTGTATAGCTCTTATAACAGCAAGACAACTTCAGATTCTTGTAGAACAGCCATGCTTTTATGGAGTATGTGCATAAACACGAGCAGCACAAAATGTTTCCGAACAATGTGCACTGTACACTATAAAGATTATTTTGTCTGTTTCAGAAATATCATACCTATTGTAGCTTTTTCACAGTACTACGTCAGCTGTGTAAATAAGTAGATTACATGTGTTGGATCTATTTTTTTATTTATTTCTGTCACTATTGAAAACGCGTGATTCCAACGGCAAATAAAAAATAAATTAAATTACGCAAGTATGCCCATGCTTTTTGCTGTACCTGCAATTTTATAATTATTGTTGTCTTCGACGTACGACTTTGAAGAAGTAGAGTCTACAAGTTATTTTTTTAATAAAATATTTCTGGAACTTTTATGTAACACTTGAATTGTATTCGGAAACTATTGTGCATGTATTATGTGATAAAATTAAGTGATACGCTGTCTAAATTAAGTTATATTTTAGAACATTAGCATTTTATTTCTTACTAGATTACTCGGCTCCTAATAAAAGAATTCGTCCATAATGTATACGATTTACAAAAAAATATGAGATTAAAAAGACTGCATTATGACGGAACGTTGACTAGTTAGCACTCTGTCGGTAAGATAACACTGTTTGGTTACGGCCCACGCCAGTCTCTGACATACACGGAGCAGACATGCGCTACATTATTTTATGACAACTTCGGGAAACCGAAATACAGATGCTAAGAAAATGGTATTCACCTTCCCGCCTCATGCCCACTTTTAAACATTTCTTCAGCCGGCAGTACTGGCACTGATTTCGGTGGTGCTGGTCGATTGGACAGTTCCTGTTGGCACGACATGTATACGTTAAGTTCCTCCGGACACTCCTCTTGAAGAAACTTTTGCATCCCTCGCAGGTAAACTGACCATAGTGCTTGCCGCTGGATTTGTCCCCGCAAACCACACATTCAATATGCTGATTTTGTCCTGAACTCTGGCCGTGTCCCTTGTCTCCGGCTGTCCCGGGCGTTGACGGGTGTCCCGGCTGACCGGGTGTTTGCGGGGTATGCGGCGCCGCCGACGCCGCTTGCTGCTGCTCCCTTGCCGGCTGCGTGTTATGGCCGCCCGGAGTTCCTCCGGCCACGTCCTCCTGCGGATCTCGCCAGACGCTAACTACCATTGCCATATCTCGATTCCGAAAAAGTGCTTAAAAGCGAGCTGATCGCTGCGGTATTTCAAGTGGGGAAAAAGGGTATCGGGCGCAAGGTTGTGCAAAGTCAAATCTTACACATATGGCTGAGCAGGAGAGAGGGCGATCGATACATTCAAAATACAAGTGAAAAGGCACCCGATCAGGATACGCATGTGTCGGGAGGCCAGTTCCAAGGTAAATCGCAGTCAGCCATTCAGAAACCCAGTCTTGGAAAAAAAGAGAAATGTCGATAGGCAACAAATTAGCGTTTAGTTCAGATTAAGCGGTTGGAGCGCAGAGGCGATTCCCTGGGATCGGACCAGGATATGGATGTAATAGAAAATAACAAGCGATCCAAAAGTATGGCGAAATAAATCCCCCTCTTTTCTCTCTCCTTCTCACTCCAGTCTCCACTGATCGAAGGGAGCGAAAACTGAAGAGCTGTATTTCATTTCTTCATATCTTAATAAACTCATCAGCAGCGAAAAATATTTTTAAAAAATTTAAAAATAATAATAATAATACGCCGTGTCCCGGTATTTCACCTCTCCAGCTGAAACGGAGCGAAAGAGAAAAAGACAAAAACACGGACAAAAAAACTAATAGAATATGCAAAGAGCAGAGACCCAAAAAATGAATGCGTTTGAACGGGAAGACCAGCGGAGCAATGTTTCCGAAACGGGGATCTGCGCGAATGTCTGTATATAGTGAACTTTGACACTACTATTGAAACTGACACGTTTCTATGGAGATCACT